TTTATGTGAAGTTTCCAGTGTAAACTATCACTGTGTTAAAGGGACTGTAAAAGCCTCTCCCAGCAGCATCAACCCACCACATCCCAAAGCAAGGGGCTTCTCACCAGTACAGACAAAAGTGTTTGCAAATGTTTAGACAACAAGATACTTTTTTTCTTCCCAAGTTAGAAAAGATCTGCTCTGTAATTCCATTTGTGTGAAATCATTAAAATATTGTAACCATTTTTTTTACTCTATTTGATTTTGTAAGATAGACAAGATGTTTACTGGTTTGAAAGCACCATTACATTTTAGCGAGGGCAGAAGCATTAGGGTTAATGTCACAGTGATACACAAACGTGATTGTCAGTTTGATTTTGTGGTTTCACACTTGACTTTCCCATCGTTTAGATGCTGTGAACAATGGTTTCATGATTGGCAAAAATCCTTCTGATCAGTGTTAAAGCATGTCTGTTACATATTGGAAACATTACTTCAGAGTTGCCATTTTATAGCCATAATTATGATAAGAAGGTGGAAAATATGTGGATATGCTAACGTTGGGCATATAGTTAAATTTTCCTTTTAAATGCTGAATTGCCCTTTTCTGTTGACCATTAAGACCATAAAATGATTGGTTGGAATCCTTGTTCATTTTCAAGTGTTTTTTTTTCCCAAAACAAGTGTCCATGTATTTGTAATATTTTTATTAATGAGACTTCCTTTTGAATATGCTTATAAAAATATTATGACTAAACAAAGAGTTTGAATAGAGCTTACCTCTCCTCATTCCTAAATGCTTCTTAAGAATATCTTAGTTTCATTTGAAATGATTATAATGTATTCTTTGGTTTGAGCCACTATTGAAATAAATACTATGTCTCGTACCACACTGCAAGGTGAGCTAAGAAACTTAGCTGTCCCAGTGCATTCCAAGGAGACCTTAGCTACAGTTGCCTCCATACTAGTACAGCTTTTAGCACCTTTCCCAGGTGGCTAGGGTCAGTACCATACATAGTTGTGAAAGGATGGGAAAAGCACTGAAATCATCTAAAAAGTAAACCATCAACTTGACATATTTTCCTAGCTATTGAAAACCTCATATTGAGACCCATTGATAGTGAAACTGTAGCATTCCTCCGAGTTAAGTACCATCTGGTTGTGCTCAGGCTTTAAAGCTGTTATCTCCGCATAAAATTTCAGAGTCCTTTACTTTTTTCTTCACCAAACTATCCATTTTTAAGCCACAAATATTTTTCCAGCTCTTTCAGATTTTATCTGAAAGTATATTTTAACAGTATTTAAAGAGTTCTTAAACAATAACAATTTATCTTGATAGACGGCATACTGTGTTTTTTCATTTTATTTTAATTAGCCATTGTGGAACCAAATTCCCTTTTGTTTTAGTCCTTTGAATATTGTTTAATTATAGTTATCATGCCAGATATCTTAAAGGTTATTTTACCAATACAGTTTCTTTTAACATAAGCCATATGGAATCAATAGCTCCGTTTCCTAAAGTGAATGCTTGGAAAATCTTACATTCATATGTTAAGAGTACACATCCTTTCCTCATTAGTTGGAAAGTCCAGGGATTTTGGCACAGGTTCTGTGTGGAAGCATTGTGCAGCTTTTATATGGATTTTGTTTTTAGCCTTTGATGACACTGTTTAGAATAGGAAGTATCTAATAAGTAAAGCATTTTGTCTCAAGTGCTGCCAGTGTGTTTAATATATGCCTGGAGGTCTGAAACATTATCTTCTTCACTACAGTAATATGCATTTCATTCTCTGAAAGCAGAAGGTCGAACTTTTAAAAGGGACGCAAAGTACATTTTCAAACAGAGTAATTCAAAACATATGGACTAGGGGACCAGCATAATGTACAGTTGGTTTTTATGGTTTAATCATGATCATGTTAATGCACACCAGTAGCTAATTAAAGAAAACTTTTATTGTTCATTTTAAATGAGTTAGGTAAAGAGTGGGAGAGCTGATGTAACAGCACTGCCCAGAGATACATGTTGCTGCTGCCCTCAACGCTCAGCAAGCTGAGATTGTGATTTTTGACAGCTTAAATTATGAGTCCCCTTGGACAGCAATAAACCAAAAGTTATTTTCAGAGTTCTTACACTGTGAACTCTACCCCACCCCCACCCTCACCCCAAGGAGTGGTAAATCCATGCCCAACCTTAGGGCCTCGCACCAGTAAGGAACTGTAAACCTTTTCTGAATAGCAGACCCGATCCATTTGGATATATTAGATAAATCTGCAGGGACTGGTGACAATCCAAAAATCATCAGCTTATTTATTTCAGGCTACAAATAGTTCAGAGTATAGAGAAATGGAGGAAGTTGTGACTTTTAACCCAAATTTAAGAATTGAGTCTTCTGGTACTGGGAAAAGCTGTCCCCCCACCACCCGCCCCCCCAGCCCCCACCCACCACCCCCCCACACCAACCCCATCCTACAGCACCTACCCCCCACACACACACATCCACCCCTCCTTCAATGAGCGTCAGCGTCTTTCATCTCTGGATCAGTGGTTCAAATTCCTCGTGGCTCAGGAGTGACTAGAATTAGTTACCATCTGACTTCTGTTCAGTAACCTGTGTGACCTGAGCAGATAGCCCCTGCTGGTTATTTATATCTCAAGATCACACCACTTGACATTCACTAGAGTCTAATGTGACAACCTCAACACACGATAAGGCTGGACCTGCCGTTTCTTTATCTTTCTCCACAGGTGGTTTGTTTCTCTGTGTTCACACATATGGGGACACTTAATTCACTTTCAAGAAGGAGAGGCTAGAATTTAAATACCAAACTAAATCTCAAAAAGAAAATACGCACTACTCATGTGGTAATTGTAGCTGCCTTTTCTGATTGTGAGGATAAAAATCATTGATACAGCTTGAGTTCTTGATGGGACTCAAAGCAAATTTTTGTGGGTTTTTTCCTGCATATATGCAGTTTATAATGCTTCCCGGCAAATTCTATACTATGTACACACCTAATTTTCTTTTCTTTTTAATTTATTTTTTATTCATTTTATTGGGGGCTCATACAACTCATATCGCAATCCATACATACATCAATTGTGTAAAGCACATTTGTACATTCATTACCCTCATTATTCTCAAAACATTTGCTCTCCACCTAAGCCCCTGGCATCAGCTCCTCATTTTTCCCCCTCCCTCCCCACCATCCCTCCCTCATGAACCCTTGATAATTTATAAATTGTTATTTTGTCATATCTTACACTGTATGACATCTCCCTTCACCCACTTTTCTGTTGTCTGTCCCCCAAGGAGGAGCTTATATGTAGATCCCTGTAATCGGTTCCTGCTTTCTACCCCACCCTCCCTGTACACTCCCAGTATCGCCACTCTCAACACTGGTCCTGAAAGGATCATACGTCCTGGATTCCCTGTTTCCAGTTCCTATCTGTACCAGTGTACATCCTCTGGTCTAGCCAGATTTGTAAGGTAGAATTGGGATCATGATACTGGGGGTCAGGGAAGCATTTAGGAACTAGAGGAGAGTTGTATGTTTTATCATTGCTACAGTGCACCCTGACTGGCTCGCCTCCTCCCTGTGACCCTTCCATAAGGGGATGTCCACTTGCCTACAGATGGGCGTTGGATCTCCACTCTGCACTCCCCCTCATTCACAATGATATGATTTTTTGTTCTTTGATGGCTGATACCTGATCCCTTCAACACCTCATGATCACACAGGCTGGTGTGTTTCTTCCATGTGGGCTTTGTTGCTTCCTAGCTAGACGGCTGCTTTGTTTTACCTTCAAGCCTTTAAGACCCTGGACGCTCTGTCTTTTGATAGCCGGGCACCATTAGCTTTCTTCACCCCAATTGCCTATGCACCCACTCTGTCTTCAGCGATTGTGTCAGGAAGGTGAGCATCATGGACACACCTGATTTTTTTAAATGTTACTTGAGAATTCCTAGTTGGTAATGAACCTGGAGGTAGACTTGCACTTTTTGTAGTAAGCATACATCTTTAAAAACAAGTGGTCTTTGATAACAATTTCCTTAATTTCTATTTTACTGTGTATTTTTGTTCAATGTGTACATTCGTTTATTCAAGCAGCTCACCGTTAGCACACAGTGATTTATCTTTACTTTGTGATAAGTACGATAGTGCTCTGGGAATACTAATATCATGTTCCCCTAGGCCACTAGCTGTCTGACCTTGGACCTATAGATGAATCCCTTGAAGCCTCAGTTTCCTCAGCTGTAAAATCAGACTAACCGGACCCCTCACTGGGCTAGAACACCTAAGAAAGGGCCACAGCTCAAGCCCCTGACGGTGTGGAGTTGTGCTGCCACGGTGACCATAGCTGTTGCTGCACCAAGATGCCCTTTGTTCTCTATGTGGACAGTTAGTCCCTGGATGGAAAGCTGTGAAAACAAGTAGTCTTTCCTGCACAAAGGAAAAACCCACCTTCAAGAGCTTTGATTATTTATGTTTGCTGTCATCATTTAAATCTACCCTGTTCCATGCATCTCTTTAGTGGCCAACCTGTATTTTCGCTTAGTCTTCTTTGTCCGTCACGCCTGAGGACTGCTCACTCCCACCTGACTGTCATACTCTCCCCAAACCTGCAAATCAGTGTTTTTTGTAACAGGCATGCGCAACAGAACCCAAACTACCCAAAACATAATTTCACTCAGTGATTTAGGAGGATTTCATTAGATGACTTTGTACAACGAATGCTGGTATGATTCTTTATGGAGACATATCTATCCTTTGAGCTCAATAACTATTAATTTAAGCAGAGAGTGATATTCACACATCTACTTTAATGATAGATATGTATATATGATGCTTTTTTATTTGGGGTGAAATATTCCTTGCCATGTTGAGAGTTGTGTGTTTAGTCTGTTACAATTTACCCACGACATATTTTTTTAAATCCCCTTTCAACAACATGTTTATATAACCTTGTTCAGAAAATAACCCAATGTTGACTCGTTTGAAACGTTTTGTTGTCCTTACAGATCTCCAAACAAGAACAGAAAAAGATGGATACATTTGATGCCAGCATGGCCGAAACCTCCTCTCGGTACAGCGGCGCCCAGGACAGTGGGATTGGCAGCGACAGCGTCAAAATCCGGATCGTGCAAATTGAGCAGCACAGCGGGACCAGCCAGCACCGCATCGCCCGCCCCTCACGCCAGTCGTCCATCGTCAAGAATCTACAGTTTATTCCCTTCGACATATTTATCACTGCAAGTAGAATCTCCCTGATGACTTACTCCCGCACAGCCTTGCCCAAATCCAAGCCACCAGAACAGAAGGACAACGAGAAAGCAGGCAGGAGTTCTTTACATGTCCCAGAAGTGGACTCAGAAGATGTGGCCAAGCCCCGCCAGGCATGTGTTTCCTCGGTGACCGCAGATGATCTCCTAAGCAGTCGTATTTCGTTCCCCTCGGGGAAGAAAATAGGAGCCCTCTCTCTTGATAGCCTCCATGCATCTGCCAGGTCGTCAGCTAGACAGGCACTCGGTGTAACTATTGTGCGGCAGCCCGGGCGAAGAGGAACCGGCGACCAGCAGCTAGAGCCTTTTCTGTACTTTGTGGTGTCTCAGCCTTCCTTGCTGCTGAGCTGTCACCCCCGGAAGCAGCGAGTAGAAGTGTCCATCTTTGATGCTGTGCTGAAAGGGGTAGCCTCCGACTACAAATGTACAGGTAAGAGCTCCTGAACTTCCACCACCTTAAAGCTTTCTTCCCTACGTTTCCAGATTGATTAACCAGAAAACAGGGGGCAAACCATACCCGTCCCCTGTCCTCCACAGAACAGGTGAGGTTCATGCCCCACAGCTGAATCATGCTTGAGTAACGATGCCTTAGCATTCTCTCCGTATTTCTAAATGTTCTTTTTTTCTTATCTTTTTTTGGAGCCCCCCCAGGATATGAATTTTTAACACTGTCCAGTGACTGAAAAAATGTAGCTTTTTACAAAAAATTAATGCCCTATATATGTGCTTTTTATATTAATGGAATTATTCAGAATTTTTTGTTTTTGAGCATCTTAGAAGATGTTTTGGTCTTCTTTTTGATCTAATCACTTAGCTGTATAACAGCACATTAAATATGCTAGAGAAGGTCTGTTACTAAAGTAAGGTGATTTAAAGAATTTCTAACAGGACTACATTTATTAGTAATTTTGGCCAACCAGTTCTTGTTGCCCTACCCCACTTGCCTGACAACCAGATTCCTGTAATATGATAACTATGTACTCACTGCCATCAAGTCAGTGCTGACTCAGAGCGACCCCTGTGGGTTTCCGAGACTGTAACTCTTAACTGTGAAACTGGAAAGCCCAGTCTTCCTCTTGCAGAGTTGCTGGTGGATTTGAACGGCTGACCATGCAGATCACAGGCCAACACTTAACTAACTGCACCACCACCAATGCTAAAGCTTGCTGCCTGTTGAGACTGAGAAAATGAGCATGCAGATATAGGGGATATTGGCTCACAAGGAAAAAGGAGCCAGAGTGGCACTGTGGGATAGTTATTGGGCTGCTAATAGCAAGCTCGGAAGTTCAAACCCACCAGCCAACCACTCCAAAGGAGAACAATGAGACTGTCTTGGAAACCTTATCGAGGCACTGTGCTGAATGGAATTGGACTAAGTGGCAGTGGTTTGATTTTCTGTGTACAAAGGCCCATGGGAAGGGAGGGCAAACAAGGCATGCACGACGAGATTCCTTTCCACAGAGTGAATCTGTAATTGGGTAGTTGGTACAAAAGGCTGCAGAGGCTGGCTGAAGTTGGCAGAATCATCTAAGAGGGCCCAAGGAAGCCCCCAGCTCAAATACAGGCATTTTGTGAATAGTAAGTAGACCTGCCTACTGTTGGAAACCAGCCAGCGGGCATTTGGAGAACTGATCTCATCTGGAAGTCAGGCTTGTTGGTTCTTAGCCTTAAGGAGAACCGTTTTCCAAATCAGAACCCTAGAGAGCAGGTGGCAGGAGTAAGGAGCCACATTCAACTCAGACAGGAGGATCAGAGGGGCCCTGGGCCCTTGCTGAGGTTTATTTAGTACAAGTCCTCTGCTTGAGAAAAGGGGATGGACGTCCTAGATCCCCGGCCAGCCTCCCTCACAGGAGCTGGCTGGTACAGTGTCAGGAGCCTGGCAGGATAGCTGGTACACTTTTGGTAACCTGAAAATCTGTCATGGTGGGGATAGTTTGTACCTTGGAAATGAAAATGAATCTTTCTGTAAGGTAGCTTGTAGTCATCTAGCCCTATTTTTCAATAATGATTTTTTTATTGTAAATTAGGTGGGAGTTTACATTTCATATAATCAACATTGCATCCCACAGTGAACATTTCAGCATTTTAGACATGCCTGAGGTTATTAAGGAGACACTGGCTTTTGTTTTTTGATTGTGAAAAAAAAATTGTAGCACAGCTTGGCCTGCGACCGCTTGTTGTTCTTCTATGCAAGCCATAAACTATTATTACATGTGTTTAATATGGAAATCATATAGCACACAATGTAGACAAAGTGTTATGTTTCACATTCTCAAAAGACCTAGGTAGCTTTCCAAAGAGGTACGATCATGATTCTAATATAAATAAATATGAACACGTCTGAAAGGTTTTACTTCGCTCGTTCCTTAATGAGGGCTAGTGAGAGTGGTATGAAAGAGCTTGTGTACAGAAGATGTTAAGGCCCTGGCTCTCTCAGAGAATTTGATCCTGCGATTTCTTAACCAAAATCGAGTTGATGCCTTCAAGTCGATCCAATGGGTACTCAGATGGGGACTACAGGACAGAGATGACTGCTCAGGATTTTTGAAACTATAAATCTGTATGGAGTAGACAGCCTCATCTGTCTCCTTCCAGTGGCTGGTAGGTTTGACCCACCAACCCTGCACTTAGCAGGCCAGTGCCTAACCAACTTTGATACCAGAACTCATGAAGTATACGAGGGGTAACACCAACACCACCACCACCCTCACCAAACAAAAAAAAAAAAAAAAGGATTTTTTCCCCCAAAACTATGTATTTAAATTTTTCTACAAAACAACTTTATCACCTTCAAAGTACTCTCCATTACACTTAATACATTTGTCAAATTGACGATGCCATTCTTGGAAACATTTTTGAAACTCATGTTTGGATGGCTGACAGCACCTCCCTCATTTTTTTTCTTCACCTCTTCTATATCACCAAATCCCTGTCCTTTCATGTCCCTTTTCATTTGTGGAAACAAAAAGAAGTCACATGGAATGAGTTCAGGTGAGTAAGGTGTGTGGGGCAAGGGAGGCATGCTATTTTTTGCCAACAACTGGCACACTGAGATGGCTGCATGAGCAGGTGCATTGTTGGGGTGGCAAAACAAGTCCCCTGTATGCCATATTTCAGGCCTTTTATGTTGCACACTGTTAAATGCAATCTTTTCAGACCCTCTAAATAGAAAGCTGGATTAACAGTCGACATTTTCATCCATTTGGAAAGTCGACGGATGTCCAGAATGAGGTTTGTCATCAATTGATATTTCACCATTTTGAAAAGAGAAAACCACTCGGACACTTGAGTTTTTCCCATAGTGCTGTCCTTGTAAGCTGTGTTCAACATTATGACAGTTTCTGTGGCATTCTTCCCAAGCAGGAAACAAAATTTCACAGCTGCAAGCTGATCTCTTAACTCGACCACCCTGAAAAAATGAGGTTCGAGCGAAAGTGCTTTTATGAAAATATGAACTGTGACCAGAGAGAACTTTTTCAGATGCTGCCACTGGGTGCACTAACTCAGAATGAGTTGCTTGATGCTTGCCTAGTGGGGAGAATGTGTACTATGAACACTGCCCAGCGGAGCTTCTTTCCATTTTGGGATGGGGTGGGGTGGGGTGGGGGGCTGTATCCTGTCATAGTAAGGGTTACTTGATTATTATTGATCTAATTTAGGAGAAGACAATGGAATTTTCCTAAGAACTTTTGAAGCCTCTCATCTTATCATAGTACAGCTCTGGAAGGAGTAAAAAAATTTTGCCATTACATTAAGAAGATTTGGTTTTATTTGACATAGTCAGAGATTGTAATGAAGAGTGTGAAAGCAAGTACATGAAATCCTGTAAGCATTGCTGGAATAAGGGTGTAATGTCATCGGTTGACTGCTTTAAATTCGTCCTCACGTTTTAACTCTTTCTCTCCTCTGTGTAATCAGCGTGGTTTATTGTTCTGCAGTGAAGCACGTTACCCTTTCCTGTTTTCATCTCCAGACTCAGACAGTCTTTGGAAATAGTTATTCATCCATTCAGTTTGAGCATCAGCTGTTTATTAGATTGTACAGGTGCTGAAACAAGAGCAAAATTAATTGACCACCATCGAGTCGATTCTGACTCATAGAGACTGTGTAAGATAGGATAGAACTGATACCTGCCAAGTCGCAGCCTTGTGACTGCTGAGGAATGCAAGGGGAAAAGGCCATCGGCATTGCAGATAGACTAAAGGGAAGTGAAATTTTAAAAAAACTCTAAAGATGAAGGTTTTTCAGACAATTTACAGGCAGCTCAGAAATTCAAGACGGTTCTCGGTGGAACCAGCCCCTTGTGTGGGTTTCTCTAGTTCTCATTCATGAGGAGGGAAGAAAAAAGTGAAGTCTTATGAAATAGAACAAGAAAAATACTCTGATTTAGTACGTTCTGTGTTGTCATTCAAAAGCCAGGCTTGAACCCCAGAATCGCTGTTTGAGGAAGATGCTTTACTCTATGGACCTGTGAGTACGCACAAGGCCCCAAAGCAAGAAGAGAAAACAAAGGTTCCACAGAACTGGTTTCCTCTCCTAAATCCAGGGAAAAGATCACATGCAACAAGCGACCTTTCCATTCCATTGAAAATCCCTGTGCAAAGGAATACGGTCCCAAGTGTGACCCGGGTCCTGCAGCAGACCATGACATCAGAACAGATCTTCTGTGTGGAGAGGTGGAAACAGCGGATGGTTCAAGAACTGGGAGAAGATGGTTTGCCGACTATCAGTCAAGTAATGCTCTCAACCCTGGTCCTCGGTGGTGACAGTTTTCTAGGATATAGAGTAACATTGTTGTAAAAATTAAATTTTGAGTTTTTTTTATTTTTTATCTCTACTAATGAAGAACTAGAAGCCCTGGTGGTATTGTGAGTACCTCAAGGTCAGCAGTTTGAAACCATCAAGTGCTCAGTGGGAGAAAGATGAGGGTTTCTACTCTCAGTAAAGAGTTGCAGTCCCGGAAACCAATGGGGGCAGTTCTGTATCCTATCCTGCAGGGTCACTATGAGTCGGAATCAATTTGATGGCAGGGAGTTTTTTTTGTTTTTAAGTGAAAACTTATTTACACATAATAATTAGCACTTAATATGTATTAACTCTATTCTTCTAACAAACCTATGAAGGAGAGATAATATTGCCCTTTTATAGATGAAACTGAAACACAAAGGGACTATTAGTTTCACTAAATGATGCCTACAATTTACTTAGAAGCTACAAACAAGGATTAGAATTACCTATTTCCCTTGATGGGGGCGAGGTGAGTGGGAGATACCTGTTAACATAATTCGAATTCTTTGCTAGACATTCTCTTCAGAATCTAGTCAATATCTTCTCTACTGTTCCTTAAAATAGCTTCTTTAAAACCGATTTTGTTGAAAAATGAAAGTTCATAGGTCAGTTTTTCCTCAAAAAATTAAAACTGCTCTTTTT